TATATATATATATATATATATATATATATATATACTGAAGTTATCGAAAAAGACACTTATTGATTACACAAAGTGTTAACAGTTATCTAAGAAAGTTTACTTGTCTTACTCTTTTAAATGTTATTATCCGCAAAATTTTCCGTTTTTTCTTAAAGCTTGTTTCTTCCCAATGTGCTACGATCTTCTCATATATTCCTGTTTAATATGTGAAAAACACTTTTTAGGTAAATCTTTCACAACTAGCAAGTACTGCCCGTTATATCAAAAGAATTTGGTGTAGTAAAGTAGACTCAGGCTGGTAAAAAAGTGATACACAAAGTTAGAAAAAGAAGTCAAGCGGTTTCATTATTTTTGTCGCCCCTACACATATGAAGGAGTTCATTTCTAATTTGTTGTAAAATCTTTCGGAAACGAAATATGCCCTCTGATGGAAAAAACTTGAGGGGCTTTGGCACAATGGCACTTTATCATATGAAGTTACCTGGAAGTTATCCTAACCGCCTTTTAAAGGTATGCTAAACTTTTAAGTCACATGTTTTTATGACTCGTAGCTACTGTACATCGTGTGCTACTGTTTCATCTCTTTAATTTTAAAATTTCTTGCTTTCATTTCCACCTTCAGCCAAGATGTTAAAGTAACATTAATTTTTACATATACTTTCTTAGAGTATAACAGTAACACCTTTGTTAAATGCCCATATATCGTAGTTGTTGTTTTGATGACTGTAATCTACGTTCAAAGTAGTTCAAGAAGATGTCTAAAAAGTCGATTGTGAACGACAAGTTAGCCGAGATAGAGGCCCATGAGATGATAGGAGAAATACGGTCTCATACTAGATTAGAAAACTTCGAAAAATATTACTCAAAAAATAGCAATTATTGAACTGAAGTAGGAAGGAATGTCGAGGGAAAAAAAGCGGAAACGTACTGTGTCTAACTTTTTAGACCTCACTATTTATTTCTTCTATAATTTCAGTCTCTCCCTCGATCAACTTTTCGTTCACAATCGATTTTTTTGCATCTTCTTGAACTACTTCAAACGTAGATTACAGTAACTAAAACGACGACTATGATATAAGGACAGTTAACAAACTTGTTACAGTTATATTGTTAAGAAGTATATGTAAAAATTAAAGTGTGCTCTCACATTTCGGCTTAAAATGGAAATGAAAGCAAGAAGTTGTAAACATAAAAGGATAGAACATGTACAATAGGTAACAAGTCATAAACAAAAGTGACTTAAATGACTAGCACACCTTAAGACGTGACTACTACAATCTTCAGGTACCACCTTATGGCAAAGTAGCATTGTGCCAAAACCGCTGGAATTACCTCCATAAGTATTTCATTTCCAAAAACTTCCCCACCAAATTAGGAACGAACTCCTCTGTATAATACATACTTTTCGTATAGAATTGTTGCATCATAGAGCGTAAAATGAAATCTATCGCCGTCTCACTTTATAGTATTTTGGCATGACAAATTTGACTGCTCCACTTTATAGCCTTTTGACTAGGGGGATAGGACAGTGAAGTACATAACGGTAATTTGCAGGGAAAAAACCAGTAATGCATTTATTATTTAATTGAAAGTTGAGTCGTTTCCGCTAACATGTTATGCAACACGGAGGTGTTGATGGTGATCATGAAATGTTCTGAAGATTTTTACTGGTGATTAAGTTATTGGTAGTTCCATCGAATTTTTAAGCATGTTCGCTTTTCTTTTTACTTTTAAATGGTTGCCATCGTGTAGATTTGGCGTGTACTTTCTCCCAAACATGCTATCTAACACTACTTTTTTAAGCTCACTCAGCGATCCTGTTAAGCTTAAAGATCAACTTTTACCTAGGTCATGTTGCAGTAAATGCTTTTTCGAATGTAAATGCTGAATTATGACTAAGATGGTTCGCAACTTTTTGTGCTAAAATATTTTGAAATTTTTTTCAATTATTTCGATACCGACAGAGGATTTCAGGCGAATTACTAAAAAATACCCTAAAAACGGTGTTTACTATAAACCCTGACCTCGGGACTAAAATTTTCTAAGAAAGTTCGTATTTTCGATGATAATAAGATGCCGGACGTCCGCTGATGCTTATCGTTAAGGTATTTAAAGACGATTTGTCGATGTGTCAGTTCCGCACAATTCAGATGAGCATGCTTGAGACATCAGTATGGAGACAGTACCAGACGAATTATTCGGAGAATTCGGATTAAAAGAGTTAGGTTTTTGTTGCAATGGTAGAATCTGAAGTGTTGCTTAGGAACTTAATTTATCAAGAACAAAGCTTCAAGTGATTAAGGGCTTGATATACCGAGCTGAAGTTCAGCAAGAAAACACTTCTCTATTGAAATATTTTTTTGAATCGAGATTTTAAATGAGATTCTGCGATCATATTCAACCAAACAAAGAAACATTTTCATTCATTTTTAGAAAACACTAGAAGTGAAGGATACAGTCCAATAGGCGCAACAAAAGCTAAAAAAATGATCAATTTCAATAAATTTTTTCGGCAGTTACAGTTATCTAATAATTTTACTTACGGTTTATTTTATCTCCTCCATCGGTACGGTTCTCTGTTAGGAAACACAACATCCCATAATCCTCCTTTCGCGTGCTTTTTATGAAACAACATTGCTTCAACAGGTGTATGTTCGTAATAACTGCAAGGTTCTTTTAAAGTTTACGCGCTTTTAATAATGATAACCACAGGTTCTCCCTCACAATTCGCTACATTTTCCCAAGCAGTTCCTTTCCTTTTGCAATGTTATTGGAAAAAACAAGAGACTCCTACTGAGCACATTCTTCTCATAACTTTTTCCACTTTCAAAAGTATCTTTCTGCCAGTTCAGTCACATTAGCATTTTGAGCCTTCTTTAGGCCGACTTTTTTTCTTCCGATGATATGGGACGGCGGTTTGCAGCAAAATTTTAAGTAACACGTTGAAAGAAGTAAAAAATTTTTCATTTTTTCTTATCTGACTAACGTTACATTCCTAATGCCAAGTTTCTGAACAGTTTATTTGCAACAAGGCCGTACGGAGTTTCCATTTAAAAAAATACTTATAGATTTTTTTTGCATCAATAAAGTAAAGTGAACAGCGGAACGAATTTCGGCTTCTGTTTTCAGTTGTCTCAACAATGCTTAGCGTCAAGATATGCTTTAGTTCCGTGAAAACGAGACCAAAAAGTAAGTGGAACAACCGCTTCTGCTGAAAGAGCTAGAGTTAAAACGTGATTTACAAAATGCAGTGAAAGTCCGTCGTAAACTCCGCAGTGGTAAGCAGATAATATCATCTACTCATAAAAAACTCCCTAATAAGATATCATAAACACTTCAATGCCTTCTCCCCGTAGATATAATCATTCATACAACTCTGAAAAATTAGCAAAAAAACTCCCAAAATGACCGCAATCAAACCTCAAATTTACGTCTACAGGACCAGTTTTTCTTCGCTTTTAACAGAACCATCATTCAATACTCGGTGTATTTGCTCATCAATTGTCTCAGAGCAACTCAAACATTTGCATAGCGACGAGTGAATCAAAATTTATAACATCACCTAAACCAATATCTAGGAAACCGGAAGGCTTTGCAAAAAAAAAAAAAAAAAAAAAAAAACAATCGTTAGGACAACCCTGTCAAGTATTCTGAGAAATTAAACATCGGCAAAATCAGCCAGCCACCCACTGCACTAAGCGGTACCTTACTATCAGTGCCACGATCTTTTCGTCTCATACGTTACTTACAAGCAACGTAGTCCTGACCTTTACTGCTCTACAAACCCGAGTTTCCCCATCTGCTTAAATGTTAAAGTATTGTAGATATCTTCTTAGTCAACCAATTGGACCTCGCCGAGTAATCCAAAATCTCCCTAGAGATGTCAAAGAAACAAAACCGCTTCCGTACCCCAACTCTAAAGAACACAAATGTACCAGTCCTTCAAAGCATGCACTTTACGAGTCACTAAGAAATGTCACCGCTAAAGTAAATTTCCATTGCCAGGTAAATTTAGATAAAAGGAAATGCACAGTTTGTTACTACTCTTCCCAATATAGTCATAAAACTTTTACTAGTTACGATTATAACACATAAGTAAAAAAGGTGGGTTACTGCACAGATGAATGTACACAAGAGACTATATTATATCAAAATCACACTAACCAATAAACTTATGCATCAAGAAAATTTATAAATAAAAGCCCACAACCTCCTACCGTGAGAAGTATGTCAAAAAATTCCTAGAGGCAAAAGATGCAGAAAGCACCATCAGAGACCAGTAATTAACAACACAAAAGAAAAAACTGACGACGTCAAACTTTAAAGTCCTAGTAATAAAATGACCAGTACAATATCAAGTGCAACAAACAGCACTTAGGACATAAGCAAACTGTTTCAACCTAAAATGACTCCTACTGTAATTGAAGAGAACGAGAGAGAGTCAACAAAGCGCTTACTACAAGAGTGTATTAGTGTCGAAAACCATTAAAATACTCTTTCCTATAATTATTGCATTTAAGAATAATTCATCATTCAACGATCGACGCAAACTTAAATCCCATGAGGTGATTTGCCACAGAATAGACTGAGAAATTATTATACCACTCATCAATGAGAGAAAAATTAATAACAACTAGTTTAGCATTCTTTTAAACATAATACATACCTCATAGCCGTTTTAGTAACATCCATTAACATTTTTTCGATAAAACGACTGAGTTGCTTCCGAATTTAAGCAATTTACACATTTTGTATCAATACTAGTTTGTTAACTTTTTTAAGTGTTAAATACGTAACAACTTGTCGATTTACCCCCTTCCCCCCCCCCCATAGGAGAACTCATTTTGGAAGCATCCAAACCCAATTAACTACAGCAAGAAACAGCTAGTCTTAATTTCAAGTGGCATTTGTTGCTGATAAGAATATAAAATTTTGTATGCACTTATTTCACCATCAAATCACGCAACTTCTTAGCAAAACTTCTTGGTGAATTCTTCCTTAAATCCTCCGCAATTTTCAAAAAGTTATCATCATCTTTCAACATTACTGACTGGTCAAATACAGACTTTTTCCCTGAAAAAATGTCATCAACTTTAATATAGGAAAATGCGCATAGAAAGCAGAAATCCATTACACGCGCAACCCACTTTAGAGATCAAGATCTAGAAAACCTGAAGCAAAAAGATTCTTTCAAATGGTCCTATCACCACTAAACATTTCTAGTGTTTATAAAATGCAAAATACGTAAAATAATTGCTATCTGAACAACGTTAACGACTACAATACACAGTGCCTTAAAAATACATCCAAATAAAAAACATTTTGAGTCAGAACTTCAGAAATGGATTGTAGAAAATTTTGAGGCAATGAATCTCACCACTAGAATCTAGTACCTCTACTGAAGCTCTTGAAAAAAGAAAACAAATTTTACTTTATATCCGTAACATGTGGCTTCCTCAAGCTAACTTGTGCTAAACTGATTTCTACAATTTTAAATATTTCTAAAGCTCACCTTTTACATACCGATGGTTCAACAGCTCATCTACTGATGCACGTTTATTAGGGTCTCTCTCCAAACAACGCTAGAAAAATATGTCCATATTATCATTTTCTCTTGTGCATAGCAGCAAGTGAAAAAACGAATTTTTAACTAAGCGATGAAGACTACTGAGATTAGATTGGAAAAAGTCAGCCTGAACATCCATAACAAATAGTATATTACACAAATCACCACCTTCATAACATCTAAAAGGTCTCTGTCTTCAATATCTTTAAAGACCACAGGCTGGTTCATTATAGCGTTCACTTTTTCAAAGACAGCACGATATTTTTGAAACGGAGTGCAACCATATACCATGTTATATAAAATACAACCAAGAGACCACACGTCAGCCTTCCTGTTTATCTAGATCATTTTGGCTTACAAGAAATGACCAGTAATCACATGAAAAAACAGGGATAAAATTACTTAAGTGAACTTTTACAAAAATAAACTCTGATTTTGGTATTAAGGGCAAGAAGAAATACGATATTTCAATTTAACAGCAAAATAAAATGTTATCACCTTAAAGCATGGTCTTGCTCCACTGTCATCACCAGAACTATTATCCCCTTTTATAACCTCTGGTGCCATGTAAGATAAAGTTCCCATCTGCGTCTCTTTCAAAACGGAAGTTTTGTTCGACGGTAATGCCGATGCAATGCCAAAATCAATTAGCTTCAGGGCACCCTTCACAAAAAGAAAATTTGCCGGTTTCAAGTCAAGATGTACAATTCCTAAAATGGAACACTACTGAATCTGGCGAACTAAATGATATGTAAAGGCAAACCAACTTCCACACCTTCTTTGTGAATAACTCCCACACACTTCAGCATTTCATTCCAATAATAACGGATAAATAAATCATCAATTTCTGTCCGCCGCGTCCTGAGAAATGAAGCTAAGTCGATGTCACCTTTCTCCATCAAAATATACAAGTAATGTCTTCTCAGCTCGCTGAAATGAACATTTCACAACTGTGCGATTGAAGAACGATAAAAAAAAAAACCACTTAAGTCAAAATAACTCCACTAGACAGGAATTGAAGATGTTCAATCAGTTGAATTCATTATTTTAAAAATTTCTTAATGGAATGCTAGATACAGAAGTTTGTTCTAGTCAATTGAAAAGGATTTATTCCTGGAAGAGACGCCCACATTTAAGGGTCAAATGACTTTACATCTTCATCAAAGTGTTCCAGAAAAAGGGAATTCGTACTAATAGTATTAAAGAATAACGAAAGAAGTATTGAATGACTGCTAAAACTTACTAGTCATACAATTTTACAACACATCCAGTGTTACTCAACCGCTTCAGTAACTTTATTTCGTTCAAGTATGCTCCCCTTTGAACCGCGTCTGTACGCGACAGGTCTACACACTTCAACGCACACAACTTGCTGTCAGCATAATCAAGTACCTGATAAACCTAAAAACGTTACCTACTGAACATGGTACTGCAAAAATAAAACCCGAGAATTGCAAAAGAAAAAATCAAAACATAAAAAAAATATTCCTTTAAACCAAAATTTCCACATTCCAAAAAAAACGAATATAACAAATAAATGAAAAAATGCTCCAACTTTGCTTGATCCGCCAGCTCCCAGAGAACCCAAAACGCAATAAGAATGACCATTGATTTCAATCTCAGGGTTCTTGTGTGACGAACCATGACGCAATTTCTGTGTAGAAGAATAGGACCTGAGGTTAGCTGCGGATTGACCCGTACATCTACTTCCCTTTAAAGACGGCTAGAAAAGACCACACAGTGTTAGAAGTCTTAATCAAATCCAAATCCTGCCTAGTACAAACAATTACCAAAGCCCAGTATTAAAGGAAGAAAAATCACCCTGTGAGGACTATCGACGCTTGTACTCCTTGTCTGCCGTAGTGCACTGTCAGATCTGTACGAAAATAACGGTTTGGATCCTTAAAATTTTTAGCAATGAACGGTGCTGATAATTTAAAAAAAAAAATGCACTGCCGTGAAAATTTCTTTGTACAAATTTTACTACCCAAATTCGTATCCATTAAAAGCAACCTTGTTTTGAAAGATTCCTCGAAACTGACTCAGACACTGCACTAGCTCGAGTCTCATTGGTTGCACTTTGGAATGTTAATGGCAAATTGGTATAAGAACTTGCGACACCATTACCATTTACTCCTGACGAATAAAGACCGTTATTTGAACATGTTGCGTATTCACTGAGACAGCCGGAATCAGGAGGTGAATAATCATAAACATGGTGACGGTGGTTAGCACACGGTTTCCTAAATTCTTTTGAAACGGATTGTTGTAAAGCTTCCTTGGTGTTAGTAAGCT